AACGTCATTAGTTTGTAAAAGTGAAGAAAACATCATTCAAAATGACATTTTCTTCCCTATATTTTTTTTAATGTCTGTTAGGGGTTCGTTAAAAAACGTCATTAAAAATGACGATTTTAAAAACGTCATTTGTAATGATGTTTTTGGAAAAAAATATTCAACTTTAAATCGTTATTGAAAATGACGTTTTCAAAAACAAGCTGAGTTTGAGAAATAAGTTCAAAACTGATTGGGTTATGGAAATAAGATTTTAGGGAGATTGAGTATGGGGAAACCTTTGTATATTTTACATGTTAAACATATTTTTTTGTTAAATTAGATTTTTTGCAAGTTATATTTTTTTTATTGATTATGAAAAAAAATAAAATTAACTATTGAATTTGTATGATTCGTGTTTGTAGTATTACTTGAATGAAAGAAAGAGATACAGATGAATATTTTCGTGATATATACTATCTATCTAATATTTATTACATAATTTTCCTTCACAGAAAGATACAAAGGAATATTTTCGTAATATACTATCTATCTACAGAGAGATATAATATTTGCTTGAATCAGACACTAATATTTTCGTGAGATACAGAGAAAATTTTGTAAAAAATTGATATTTTTTGCGTGAATTGAGCGTGAGAGAAAGATACAGAGCAATGAGAGAGAAATATTTGCTTGAGTTAAGGAAAAAATTTGAGGGAATTAAATTTTGGAATATCAATTTTGAAAACTATAAATTTTAAGCAGTAAAAATATTTCAAAAGAGTTAATGTGGTACGTCAATAGCTTGAGACAGTTTAAGATAACGCAGTCTTTCGAATGATAATTTTTTTTAGTTACGAAAGATCTGGACCGCTCATTGTCTCCAAAATTCGAAATCATTATACTTTATTATACAGATAGACGCACACTTATATTTTATATTATAAGACTCCATAAGTTGCAATTGATTCTCTGACCAAAGCCATGAAACTCGCTATAAGGTTTAGACCGTACAATACATTGTGCCCATGTAACGGGATGCGGAATTACATTTGAAGTACAAGCCATTACAAACCCATTTATAAAATATTCAATTACTCCAACCCCACATTACCTTAGCCTATAATATATTATGTAGTTTACACCCAAGGATCATACACCAGTGATCCCACCTATATTACATTAACCCGTTTCCTTATCCACACACACTCACACACTCATACATAAGCATAGACACATAATATCTCGAATACAAACATATATCTAACGTTATTTACTAGGTACTCAAATAAGATTCCAAACTAACCTTCTACTTCTGCTTCTTTTCCAAACCAACCTTTATTTCTTGCCGTTTTCTCTCTATTTATTGATTTCCTACCAAAAAATAAACCGCCCTTCCAATCATTCTTCATAGGTAACTATTCACTCATATAACGGTCAACCTCAATTGGTGCCCAATGTAGTTATTTCCTATTAGCATTCTTTTATGGTTCCCTCTTTTTTTAACCCATTTTATTCTCTAATCAACTTAATATAGTTAATAAGGTTGTGCTTGTTATAAGTAAAAACTGAAGTCTGAAAGTTAAAAATTGAATACTAAATTTGTGAACTGTTTGCTATCCACTTAAATTTAATTATTGAATTAAATCAAACTGTTTGATAACTATACAGAGCTGATGTTTAAAAATAAATTAATTTTTAATTTTACCTTTCCACTCTTTAATTTAAAAATATTTATAAAATATGATTTTATCTAATAAAAAATGACAATTTATCAATTTAATTCATAACATAAATCATAATCACTATTATCATATTGTAGTCTACATTTAATATATGTGTGTGTGCACAATTTGTGCTAGTGTGTGGGTGGGTGGGTGGGTGTGTGTGTGGTGCTTGTTTTTGTGTGTGTGTCCAGTGAATGTTTATTTTTAGCAGGCAAATGGAGGGAAAAGAAGAAGAAGAAGAAAATAAAAAAAAACTGTCATTGTTGAATAAGAAAATTGACAAGGAAGATAGATTGGTTAAGAGTTTTGAAGAGAATACTAATTAGAATTTAAATAATATTTTAAAATATTTCGGGATATAATAATCTATTATAAATATTATTAAAGATAATTTTACTAAACACTTTTAACTTTCAGAATTAAATAAGCAATCTCCTACTTAATACTGTAGTCTATTTTAAAGGAGCACTTAACATACTAAAAGAGTTAATATTTTAGTTATCAAACAAGATTAATAAGTCTCAAATACATTCATTTAAGTGTTAAATTTATGTTAATAAACACACCCTAAGTAATGACATACATTTTACGAAATTATAAAATGACCCACATTCCACGACATAATAATAATAATAATAATTTTTTGAACTCGGGTTACCATAGGGAGAGAGAGTTTGTTAAGGAAAGTTTTGGGCAAGAACTTAAATTTTCAACAAAAAATATTTTGCTAATTTTTTAAAACGATGTGAACGAAGAAAATCTCAACATAAATTTATGTCTTTAAAAGATTTAAATTGTCCTGTCCTCTATTATATAGACTAGTTATTCCTTGTGTCTGAAACGACCGTGCAATACCAAAACATGTTCAAATCTACCAAAATCAACGAACAACAATCAAGTTTTCCACAAAAAAACTATTAACTCCAACCAATACACATTAATACTAAAAACCAACAATTTTCAAATCAGTTAGATTAAAGTAAACAACTAATTCTCTAACAGGTAAATAACTGCATGTCTAGAAGCTCTGAACACTAACCACACCACTTCACAAATTTCATAAAAACAAAAATCAAACTCACACAAATCAAACCTTAGCTTAGGCTATGACAATGACAGGTCAGCAAAGTCATCAACAAACTCAAATAAGATGATCACGTCAATGTCAGAAAATGATTATTAGAATGTGCTACTGAAACAATACTACAAAAAGTTTGCCATCATGTAAAAAAACTCATAAAAACTATTCAAATTGATAACTTTATCCATAAACAACCCTATAATTCAATGCAACCAATCAAACAGATGCAACATTACAACTAAATAGCATACATGCAAATCACAGAAGTACAAAGAAAGGCAAGGTAAAAGCATTTCTGTAGATTATAAGTAGTATCAACATGACACCATGGCCTACATCAAACCCATAAGCTTCATCAAACTAATAGCAAGTACAGGGTGCAAAAAAGATGAGTCACGCTTGACTCGTTGAAAAATTTCACCGAACACGTGGTGGGTGTGTACAAATTCAGTCCAATATAATATGAACACAGTCCAATGCTTAGGCAAATAAAGTAAAAAATCACCAAACCAATGAACCCAACTCCCACTGTCAGACTATCAAAGTCATATTTTCTGAGACCACTCAAATAGAGGTTTACACTCTTTTTAGGAGGTGTAATTAAGACGAGTCCAAAATTGCACATAAGACAACTAATAAAGCAACATAAGTTTGTTAGCCACTTCTAAACACAATCAACGTTGATTACGTATTTATGTTTATAAAGATGAAAATCAGATTGGTGCAAAACCTACCAAAATGCTATTCCATCACCGTGACCCATGTCATCGCAAACATCAGGTAAATTGCAAACGAGCTGCAACATTGAAAACCAAGATGACAGAAAAAAAAAAAATGGAAAACTCAACTTACTTCATCATCTGGCAACAAACAAAATCTAAGTTAAAAATGTCCGCCCAAAAAAAAAACTATAGAACTACAAATAAAAAATAAAAAAAAGCAAAAAAAGCACAATAGCAAAATCAAAAAACAAATTGAGAATTTAACAAAATAGCAGCCATGTTACAAAGGAAAAATCAAATAAACAAAATAACATCCAAAATCACCTATAGAACTCCAAAAAGCATACAGAGAAGAAAAATTCAGTCATTCAAACAACTAATCGACCAAACCTCATGAATTCAATTGAAGTAAAACATAGCTCGACCTAAGAAATCAAAGAATGCCCACCGTAAGATTGGCCTCCAATCAGTTGAGCAGTTAAGTTTCCTACATTCTCTTTCTAGCTAAGCCATAAATCATCAAATCATGGCAAGAAAAATATTAGTCACAGAAAGATTAATTTGGGAAATGAAATGGTAAAATGACCAAACAAATGAGAAAGAAATGAACAAATGAAGTGGTTCAACTTCAGCAGAAATATTGAGCTAATAAGCCACACCAAATTACAGTCGGAACCAATTGTCTGGTCAGAGGCTCCATAACTCTGAGGAAATTCATCAAACACACGCTGGAGTTGGTTGGTGGCTTGTGGTTATGTTAGGTCGTGGGGGAGGAGGAAGGGGACCTTTTTGGTTGTAGCGTTGGTGGTTCTCATTCGAGCAAAGGGTAGGATTCTGAGATTGTGAAGAGGAGGAAAGAGCAACTGGGCTAAAAAGTGATGCTGAGAAAAAAGAGAAAGAGAGGGCCGTAGAAGGGAGGGGTGAGAAAGTAGAGAGTGAGGAAAGGGAGAAATAGCAGAGAAGTAAGAGAGAGAACAGAGGTAGGTGGGTGGGAGTGGAGAGAGATCACAGAGACAGAGAGAGAAGAAGAAGAAGTAGACAGACGAGAGGAGAGGAGGCGTGAGAGAGAGAAGCCAGAGAATCTGCCCCCTTATATTTTGAGCATACATACAAACACATTCATAAATAACAATTGACATACATGCATATGTATTTATTGCATCAGGAATGGTGATTGTATACTCAAAAAGATATATGGTTTTTCCTACAACAAAATAATTATCAACAAAATCACAATCAAACAGTCTCACGAAAAAAAAAAAAGAGTTTACAGGCACAACCAAAAACCAATAGGATTCAGTAATCCACATCTAACAACAGGAGGGATTTAACCAGGTTTCTGTAATTAGATGTGCGATCTTACTAGTTTTTATTCATCTCGCCACATTACAGAAGTGAAATTCGACCACCACAGTAACTACAAGAAAACACGACAAGCAAAGCGAGAAAAGATTGAACTAAAGAACAAACAAATGGAATGTAAATGGTAAGTCATAACACATAGAATAGATAATTTATTCTTTAACAGTTTTGCAGGAAGAACAATGGCTATGATCCGAGTAAAATCCTGAACAATTTGGCCATACAATGGCACAAAGGTCACAGATCCCTCCGAGGTCCTAAACATATATAGCCTCCTGTAATTTATGGATACAAATTAATAATGACTGCTAGAGCGCTAGATGCAACTTATACCAAATAATTGTGCATGAAAGCTAGCACATTGCAGGGACTCTTACTGCTGCTTACCTAGCAACTGAATCAGACAACAGAAAATGAATAGCTTTAACCGAATGTTTGCTCCCTGGACCCGAACCAAACCAAATAAAAACAATTCCTGATTGTGTCTGTTGCTCTTCAAAATACAAGGTCTTGCTAATCCAAAGATGAGAGATCATAGTCAGTCCATGGCAAAATGCAGCAACCAACAAATTCCCAGTTGTGGCGAAATCTCTGGGCAATGGGCTGGCATTGAACCTTTTATAAATCCAAGGAAACAATAAATGGTAGTTGAAGACCCCTTGGGAAATATATACATCACCACTTGCTAACCATCTAAAAAGGGGGAAGAATATTAATGCAGGGCTCCTTTCAGGTTAAGGTTGGATATAGTGAGAATGATTAGGGAGTTGTAACAGTAGGCGAAGAATGATACTGATCTGTTACCCCGCTGTTGAATTTCCCACTAGGCTGCCTCACTTTGAAACTGCCATACTTCACAGGCTTTGGCTGAAAAAGGGTGTTGAGCATTTTCTCCAATGCCTGAGTTGTGTATTTTGCATACTTGCTGGCACTTGAATCTTGCTCAACCAATGGCCCATAATTCTGCATGTAGCTGCGGTACACAGGTACAATTGCCTGCACTATAAGCTGGCAAGTCTTCTCTCGCAGATCCTTTTCCGAGACAACCCAGCTGGACTGCTTCTTATACATTTCATCAAAAGCTTCGTTGAAAGCTTTTAATCTTTTCTTGACAAGATCACGAGCAGTAGCACGACCACCTGAAAATAGAATCAGACCTTCCCTACTTAAAAGAGCGGGAAGCTTTCCCCAGCTCTCCCTCAAGTAAATAGCAGAATAATACTCCTTGTACTGTTCATGTTCTCTTAACCAAGAATCTCCTAACAGACTCCCAAGCTTTGTGCCTTTCAAATGCTTGTATAGATGCCAGTGATTGTTCATTAAGAAAAGGCGCGACAAGACAGCATCCTCATAAGCCTTTGACCATGCCTCTAGATTTAACTCAATGGCTTTAATTAGATTCAGAAGCTCGCCAATAAGGAACCTCTCCTGGAATTTTTTATGCTTCCAACTCTGTTCAATGACCAGAACTTGAGACAAAAGTGGCTTATAATCGTCCCCAAGCAGCCTGTTAGAATAATCAGTAACAAAGCTCACCAGTCTTGGGACACTGCCATCTGAAGGAGGTGGAGTTTCCCTCTGCAATTCAACTTGACGCAAAAGTTCCCAAAAGATTTCACAAGCCCCTTCAATCACCCTCTTGATGAGTTCCCTAGTCAGATTTTGTATTTCAGCGCAGGCTGTTCCACCAAAAAGGCGGTTGAAATCCAATCTTAACTTGTTTAGAGATGCAAATATATCCAACAGCTTCAGTAGCTTGATGGGATCCTTTTTACTCTCCGTAACAGTTTTTCCAAATTGAAGAAATGCAAGAATTCCAGCCTGGGCAGCTATTTTAGCAAAACAGCCCATCCACACATCCAGTCCTATCCTCTCAAAGACATCATTACAAAGTTTGTACTCGGCCTCAAACAGATGCTTTACGGCAAACTCCAAATGCTTACCCCACTGAGCAATGTCACCGTCTATGCTCTGCACATCATTGAACTCTGAGACTGATATCTCAAGGTAATCCAAGTTGAGTGCTTGCAGACTCGCTCTAACATTCGAACTACGAACTTCAATATAGATGGATATGCACTTTTCAAGTCTGCTATTAGCAATTAATCTCCCGAGAATCGCCTGTAACTTATGAATAACAGCCACCGGTAGTGGGGATGGGGTAATGCAGGGTTGTTCGCCAAGTGAGGATGGACAGGACATAGGCAAAGGAACACTGTTTTCCACCAAGAGCCGCCTAAATTCATTTTCCAATCTATCCAATGCAGCCTCAAGAAGCCCTCCATCAAGCCGACCTTTTTCCTCATGTCTCTGCAATTCCCTTACATACTCCAGAGCCTGCTTCAATTTCAAAATGTACCTATCATCAGCAACCTTATGGTCCTCCAAATACTCCACAATATCATCCAACCACTGAATCGCCATTCCACAATTTTCACCCAAAAACCTCAATGCCTCTTCCAGCCTCTTAAGTACCTTAAGGTACCCCGGAAGATCCGATTGGGGATCGGATAATGACTTCTCGAGCCCATGAATGGCATCAAAAACCTTAAGAACTGCAGCAGCAGGAACCACAGCTCGATTAATATGACCGCCAACAGCATCAAGTGCTTCCTTTTGTGCCCTAATTGGCCTCACTGTGGCTTCTAAAGAGGGTAATCTTTGATTAATCTCATCTAATCTAGGCTCAGCTTTCTCAAGAAATAGCCCTAGAGCTTTTGATTTCTCTAAACTAATCTTCAACGATTTCCTTGACGATATCAAATTCTCAATACCCTTATCCATTGCCACTCCGCTTTTGAAACCCTACCCCAAAAAACTCCAAAACTTACTCAAACCCACTTCTTAACTCACAAAACCCAAAAATTTTCACACTATAAAAAACTCAAAAACTGCATTCCAATATCTAGAATTGCTTTTTCTATGGGTTAATCTAACAATCAGATCAATCTGGGTTCTTATAGAAATAAGCCTTCATTGTGCTCACCGACCTTCACCAAAACCAAACCCACCAAAAACTGAAGACCTCACCCCGCCCAGAACAGTTACAACTAGCGCAACGAGAAGTCAACCAACAACTACCAACCAAACAGCCTCATGTAGGAGGGAGAGAGAGAGAGAGAGACTCACAGAGAATCGAAGTGAAAAGTAAATCGTTTGAGGATGAGATCGAATCGAACTCAGTGAGTTGAATCAGGGCTCCTTCGCATATACTGAATCAGTTTCGTTGGTTGTGATAGGAAGTGGGCGATTCGATCGAGAGAAGGAGAGAAAGAAACCCTAGATGCGGTTAGTATATAGAAGTGCTTTGTACGAACACTGTTCAGTCCAAAGAGTCATGACAGTAAAATGCTCTGCTCTCTTAGTTCATTCTCTCTCATCCGTCTCAATTCCTTGAACCAACGAGCGGTTGTTTGTGGTAATTGATGATGCATAAAAATGGTTTTGCACACCACCTGTCAAGTATAGATAATAAATACGATGAAATCAACGAAAAAATTAGAGAAGACACAATTTATAGTGGTTCGGTCAATTCGATTTATGTCCACTCTTCAATGGCTTCAGTTGCCGGGTATTTTATTGATTCAAGGGTATGGAGAATGGAGATACAAGCTTTGAGAGAGGGAATGGAGAATCAAAGAAAAATAATAATCTCTGGTAGTCGGTTCGTCTTCTGTAAATCTCTGATGGAGCATGTCCCTCTCCTCTCCCAGATTAGAGCCATTTTATAGTAGTTAAGAGATCATTCTTGTGGAGATCATGACATATCCTCAAGGCTTCTTTATCGCAGCTTAGAGATTATCTTTGGTGGAGATCGCGACTTATCCTCCACGGAAGGAAGAGGTTGGGGAGCTCTTCATGAAACGTGGTCAATGATTAGACCGTTTTCTTCCTTCGGTGGTGCAGATAAACTTCCCGTGCTCTCCTCTTGGTGACGTGCTAAGCAAGAAGTCTAGCCGGCCTTGGGCTCCTTAAGGAGGTGCAGATAAACTTCTCGTGCTCTCCTCTTGGTGACGTGCTAAGCAAGAAGTCTAACCAGCCTTGGGCTCCTTAAGGCGGTGCAGATAAACTTCCCGTGCTCTCCTCTTAGTGACGTGCTAAGCAAGAAGTCTAACCGGCCTTGGGTTGTTTCCTTTGGCGGTGTAGATAAACTTCCCGTGCTCTCCTCTTGGTGACGTGCTAAGCAAGAAGTCTAATCGGCCTTGGACCGTCTTGGTCTTGGTGGTCTCTTGGTGACGTGCTAAGCAAGAGGTCTAACCGGTCTTGGACTGTCTTGGGCTTGGTAGAATCATAATGAGGTTGGGCTCCTCAAATGGGGTTGGACTTTAACACATAAATTGGACTATTTGGGCTTAACCCATCATTTGCCCCCCAATGCCCCATGTCCAAGGAGACTTGGAGAAGGAGGCATTGATTACATTTTTTTTTTTTTTTTTTAAACTTCAAATCTTTCCCATTTTATTTTGAAGAGGGAGTGGTGGAGGTTGAAGAAAGGGAGACGGCTAGGAGCGCGATTGGGCAGCGCAGGAGCGCTGGGCTGGGCAGCGCAGGCGCGCTGGGCAGCGCAGGAGTGCTGGGCTGGGCAGCGCAGGCTGCGCAGGAGCGCTGGGCTGGGCAGTGCAGACGCAGCTGGGCAGCGCGCGCGCTGGGGGCTTAGGCGCTGGGGGCCTGGGCGGCTGCCTAGGCTCTGCTCCTCGCATCCTGGACAGCTTCAGATATGCTGCGTTGGGCGGCTTTGGAACGCTGGGCAGCAGCATTTTTTCATCAAGGGGCGCTGAAAATCAGTCCAAGGTTCGTCAGGGAGAGCTAGGCAGTGGCCTGGGAGCATGGGCTGATCCGATTCCCACTCGAGGTGCTGATTTGGGCGTCTTAGGTGCTGATTTTTACGCCGAAAATTCTGCTTTGCGCAATTTTGAAGGGCCAGACAGCCTTCAAGCTACTGGGCAACTTTGTTTTGATGAGCAACAGCAGTCAGGCACACTTCTAGGCATTGGGCTAGACATTGCAAGTAGTAAGGAACCTTTGGGTGCTGCTCTTGATGATCAAGCCCTTCTCCAGGTGCTGGGCGCCTTGGGTGAGCCTGGGGCTGCCTCGGGAGAACCTACTTGTGATGACAAAAATAATGTTATTCCAAACATTAAAATATCTCACATAATTACCTGGAGAGAGAGAGAAGTAGGCTGCTTGCGCGAGAGCAAAGACAGAGTTGGAGAACTGCTCGTGAGAGAGCTACACTTTTTGAGACCTAGCTTTTGGCGACCCATGAGGGAGTCTTTAAGCTTGAGGTATAAGCTTCCTGTTTGAGAACAGTGCAGAGACCAAGCTTTTTTGGTGACCCGTGAGAGAGCCGCTAAGCTGGAGATAGGCTGCCTGTTTGAGAACAGTGCAGAGGCCAAGTTTTATTTTGTTTTTTTTTTTTTTTTTTTTTTTTTTTTTACCGATCCATGAGAGAACCGCTAAACTGGAGATAGGCTGCCTGTTTGAAAACAGTGCAGAGGCCAAGTTTTTTGGCGATCCGTGAGAGAACCGCTAAACTGGAGATAGGCTGCTTGTTTGAAAACAGTGCAGAGGCCAAGTTTTTTGGCGACCCGTGAGAGAGCCGCTAAACTGGAGATAGGCTGCCTGTTTGAGAACAGTACAGAGGCTAAGTTTTTTTTTTTTTTTTTCGGCGGCCCTTGAGAGAGCCGTTAAGCTGGAGATAGGCTGCCTGTTTGAGAACAGTGCAGAGGCAGGTCAAGTTTCTAGTGATCTGTGAGATGATCCACCTTGCCTAAACTTGTTGATTTCCTCAGCATTCATATATCTTTGAGCTTTTGTGAATAGTTCTGGCATGCTCTTCGGTGGGCGCTTCAGAACTGAGAAAAGGAAACTTGATGAACGGAGGCCACCCAAGAAGGCGGTCATCGTCACCTTGTCGTCGGGTTCATCAACTTGGAGTACCTCCTCGTTAAAACGAGTGAGGTAACTCCTCAGGCTCTCCTCGCGGTCCTGCTTTATACTAAACAGGTGCGTAACTGGCTTCTGGTGGCGACGCCCTCCTATGAAGTGTGAGACGAATGATCTGCTAAGCTCGGCAAAAGAGGTAATAGAGGCGGGAGAGAGCTTAGCAAACCACTGTCGGGCAGACCCCTTTAATGTGGTTGGGAATGCCCTGCACATGATTTCGTCTGGTACGTTGTGCAATTGCATCAAGATCTTGTAAGTGTCGAGGTGGTCTAGTGGATCCTTTGTTCCATCAAAGGTCTCCACGGATGGCATTTTGAACTTCTGAGGGAGGGGGTAGTTTGCTACATCAGGTTTGAAAGGGGTATCAGTACGCCTTACCAGGTGGTCAACAGTCTCGGGTCCTTGTGCCTTTATGGCGTTGAAGACATCACCGAGTTGATTCTGTACCTCCTTTATCTTCTCGTCCCAATGATTGGGGGCTCTTCTGGAATGATCATGGAAGTGGCTTCCATGCCCCATGCTTTGGTTTTCACCCTCATCCTCCTGGAGATAAGGGTCCTCTCCCTGGAAAGCAAGGGGAGGGGGAGGTGCAGCTCCCTCATGTTGGGCTTTCCGAAGTGGGGTGCCCAATGGGGCACCCGGGCGTGGAGCAACAGGGCGTGGTGCTTCTTGATGTCCAGGATGTGGAGCTCCTTGGGGTGCTCTATGTTGTGCACCTCCGTGGGACCCTCCATGTTGTGCACCTCCATGTGGTGCTCCACCTTGGGGTCCTCCATGTTGTGCACCTCCGTGTGGTGCTCCACCTTGGGGTCCTCCATGTTGTGCACCTCCGTGTGATGCTCCTCCTTGTCCAGCAAGTATGAGTTGCAGTAACTGTTGGTTTTGAGCAACCAGTTGCTGCATGGTCTCCAATATTTGTTGGGGATTCGGGGCTAGAGTATTCGGAACAGGGTTGATAGGCGGGGGAGCAACCTCTTCCTCTCGTGGAGGATTATCTTCGTGTTGGTTCATGGATCGAGTAGTTATCGCCATTAGTTAATGGACGTAATGTTCAGGAGTGAGAATTTTGTCGGTTCCCACAGACGGCGCCAAACTGATGATGCATAAAAATGGTTTTGCACACCACCTGTCAAGTATAGATAATAAATGCGATGAAATCAACAAAAAATTAGAGAAGACACAATTTATAGTGGTTCGGTCAATTCGACCTACGTCCACTCTTCAATGGCTTCAGTTGCCGGGTATTTTATTGATTCAAGGGTATGGAGAATGGAGATACAAGCTTTGAGAGAGGGAATGGAGAATCAAAGAAAAATAATAATCTCTGGTAGTCGGTTCGTCTTCTGTAAATCTCTGATGGAGCATGTCCCTCTCTTCTCCCAGATTAGAGCCATTTTATAGTAGCTAAGAGATCATTTTTGTGGAGATCATGACATATCCTCAAGGCTTCTTTATCGCAGCTTAGAGATTATCTTTGGTGGAGATCGCGACTTATCCTCCACGGAAGGAAGAGGTTGGGGAGCTCTTCATGAAACGTGGTCAATGATTGGACCGTTTTCTTCCTTCGGTGGTGCAGATAAACTTCCCGTGCTCTCCTCTTGGTGACGTGCTAAGCAAGAAGTCTAGCCGGCCTTGGGCTCCTTAA